AACAATTTTTACAAGAACCCCTATAACGCTATAGATTGCCCTCTTAAAAACATGTTATACAGGGGGATTCCTGTAACGTCGAATCAACTTTGGTTTTCTATACTACGACCAATGCTATTTAATACTTACACAAGATCAAAAGCGGAACTGCTTGTAACAAGTGCTAAAATAACTAGGGTCTGGTCCACGGAATGCACTGTCTGTTAATAGAACACGTGTACACTCAAAAACATGTACACTGAGTTGCATTAACGGTTCTCGACCATGAATCAGATCTCTTTGATATTGTTTTGACATTTACACTTTGTGATAAAGGATTTCTTGTATACATATGTATAATCTATACTATTATAATAAAGCGTAAACACACACTTCTTTGTTGCCTAAGATGTCAGCAACTACAGCATATTTTTGTATAATTCTTTTTATAATAAAAAGCCCTACACTCACGTCACGCTTTAGGCTATATATTTTCACGCCATTAAACTTAAGTTAATATTTTGGATAAAAACTCTAATGTGGGAAAGAGACCATAAGTTATTGCCAACATCAAGGAAGCAAGGTTGTCATCATGTCATGTCATTTTGATATTTGTAATTGATAATATGACAAATGTAAACAGTAAAATAAAATTTTCATAATTTCATGCAGATGAAGTCGCACGGGAACAGCTAGTTAGTTATAAACATCCAATTATCTTTATAATCCTACCTACTTACTAATATAAATACAAAAGTTTAGATGGATGGATGTTTGTTAACAAATCTTAATGAATTTTGGCACAGATGTCAAGGATAGTCTGGAAGAACACACAGGCTACTTACTTTTTTACTTTCACGCGGATGAAGTCTCGAGCAACAAGATCTTATAAGAACGTACTTTCCGAGATTACGAATTGGGGTCACAGAGTTGAATCGAATAGCTTGTATTTATAGCTGCGTAATGTAATTGTGAACGCCCTTACAGTAGACGTGAACCCAGACTGTGATATTCTGAGATATTATTACTGTGGGGTTTTGAGACGATATACAAGGGTTAATTTATGAAAAAAAAGGTTAAGAACCTGAAGACGATAGCTATAAAAGAATAGAAATAATTTATTGAAAACAAATATTGTACCATTACAATTAAAATTAAAACTAACTTAAAACTAAGCTATGTTAATATAAAAAATAAATCCCACTATCTGTCCGTATGTATGCTTTATTAGATGTTTGAAACGCAACGAAATGTTTTTCAGTTTTTAATAATGATACAAGAGGAAGGTTTACATGTATAACTTTTGCCCGCGACTCCTTGTGCTTGGAATTAAAATAAAACAAAAGTAGCTTATGTCTTCTTTCAGACTATCCTCTACATCTGTACCTAATTTCAACGATATCCTTTCTGCCATTTAGACTACAAACTCCAACAAACATCCATCCATCTAAACTTTAGCATTTATTATATTAGTAAAATAGATGTATAAATTAGAGAAATACTGATAATTTTAGAGGTTTCTAATGTGATGTATAAAACGCATTTTGGTATCAGCATTGCCTGTACGAAGTCTGGTCGGATCGCTAGTTATAACATAAAAAATCAATAACCTTTACATTTACTGCAATTTATCGTAAGAGAAACTATTCTGAACTAAACCTGCAATAACTTAATAAGTTAAGTTTCTTTAACTTGTTAGCTTGAATATTAACGTTTCATTCTATCGTCAAAATTAAACACAGTTTTGTTAAAAAGAGAAACGGAACATGATTTATCTACGATCTTAAAATAAAGGGTCACTTGACTTTAATTGTCCCTTTGACTTAGCATTAACTTAAGTTGGAAATAGTCTCCTTAACTTTAAAATACCAAAGTATCATGTTACTAACTCGAAGTCTACTAATGATTATAGCAGTCTCCTAGTGACTTATGACAATCATAGACATATAATCTATAGATATATAAGTAGGAAGGGGCGAGAAAATTTTGAAATATCGATAAAAGCTATATTATAAATTTAAAAAGATAATCTAATCTTACTAATATTATAAATGCGAAAGTTTAGATGGATGCTTGTTAGAGTTTGTAGCCTAAACGGCTGAAGAGATTCCGAAATTCGGCATATACTCGTATGTAGAGGATAGTCTGGAAGAACACTGGCTACTTGCTTTTGTTTTTAATTCCGCGCGGTCGGAGTCGCGGGCGAAAGCTAGTTATTCTATATAACATTGAATTGATATGGCCCAGATTTTAAATTACAACACTCAGGTAAAATAATAGTTAATGCCATTCTGAAAATAAAAGAGACCGCGTGACCGAGATACGTTCAGAAATAGAATTGACACTGACCAGGCACTGTCACTGTACGGGAAAGAAACTTTGACATTTAATGACAGGATCTCACACATTCGTTAAATACAAATTATAGTGATGGAAGCGGAAGACCGAAGAAAGTATGGATGGATTGTGTTAAAGAAGGGAGTGGATTCAGATATGACGGCTGATTGAAATGTATGGAAGAGCAGCATATACTGTGCCGACCCTCCGTGGAATAAGGGAAGTTGATGATGATGATAGTGAAAGTTTAGATGGATGGATGTTTGTCGGAGTTTGTAGCCTAAACTGCTGATATGCTACTGAATGCTGCTGACTTGCTATCTTGATAAAATTTGGCACAGATGGGGATAGTCTGGAAGAACCCATGGGCTACTTTTTATCCTGGTAATAGTTACAGTTCCCGTGGGATACAATAATTTTGTTTTTTCGTGTTTACTCGATATTTCTGCAATGGTTCAGTGTATTTTATTGAAATTTGGCACATATATCAAACATAGTGTGAAGTAACAATTGAGTTCATCTTAGTCTGACGTAGTTTTTATTATCATTAATACTACGCGGACGATGTCGCGGGAAACACCTAGTTTATAATAATTTCTAAACTTGTTTTTGTGCTATGTATAATTGTTTTTAAACTCCACTTTGCATGACAGTAGGCAGAATTCATTTTGCACGACAGCGGCTTTTTGCTTAGTCCGTTTATCTATAGTCAAAGTAATTTAATGACATTATGACTTAAGCACACATTTTTATGCTTCCTAATCATGAAACGAAAACTTTTGACGCATAGGAGGGGCTTTTCGTGACGAAAAAATATCACGTTTACAAGGAAAATAAAAAACTGAATCCTAATTTACTTTAATAACATTTTTAAGCGTCGAACTTTCTCCGGCGTCCTAAGAATTAAAATTATATCAAAATCTGACTACTTCAGGAGCATATAGATAATATACATACAATTGTTATATTTCATATGGATCTTACTAATATTATCTTACTTCTTACTAATATTATAAATGCGAAAGTTTACATGGATGGATGGATGGATGTTTGTTAGAGTTTGTAGCCTAAACGGCTGAACGGATTTTGATGGAATTTGGTATAGATGTGGAGGGTAGTCTGGAAGAACACATAGGCTACTCACTTTTGTTTTTTTTTAATTCCACGCGGACGGAGTCGCGGGCGAAAGCTAATAACATTATAAATTCAAATGTTTATATAGATGTTTGTTAGAGTTTGCTGCCTAGCTGAACGGATCTCCATTAAATTTGGCATAGAATTAGAGCATAGTCTGGAAGACTACATTGACTTCTTACTTTTTTAACTTTACGCGGATCGAGTCACAAGCAAAAGCTAGTTTGTGAATGTAGTAGATGCTTCTAGATTTTTAATTAGTTATTGAAAGTAATAAATAAGTCTAACTAAGTAATAAATGTATAAGGTAACATTGCTTTTTTTTCTATTAAATAGTTTTAAAACTATAAATCTAACACTAAAACTACACAAATAAGCGCTGAAAATCAATTATAAATACTCCCTACAGAAATATTAAATACCACCAACGTAAAAATGTCAATATCGTAAATTAATTGACGAAAACGCCATCGTTCCTCGCATTAATTAAACTTACCCACCCCGTCTTCCACCCTACTTTCGTCCATTTACGAGTTTGGGGGTGAAAGCGGCTTCCCCCCATAAATATTTATCAAGTCCACAATAACGTTACTGAAAAACGTCCACTCAACCGTCTTCATATATAAATATGTATTGTAATAAATTAATCGATTCTTTTACTTTTTTTTAAGTCTTAATCACATTTATCATCATTATCATCATCATCATAGTTCCGTAGGGTCGGCGCAACAGCTTTTTGTCCTCCAAATAACTCTATCATACGTCATCTCAGTCATCACTCCCTTGATCATGTCACCTTTCACGCAATCCATCTCTTTCTATGTCTACCTCTACCGGTGTACCACACTCGTAACTAACGTTCTTGTAACATGCGATTCCCTCCTCATAACATACCCCCATGCTAACCTTTTACTCCTTACCTTCTCTACCACTGAGGCTACTCTCAAACAAAGTGTTAATCGCATTGAATTTTAAATAACTAAGCGCTAATAAGTGCTTTTTCAATATAAATTCGACATAATTTTAAACGTTACTAGACTAGAGAAATTACTTTCGCATTTTTTTTTAAAATAGTTAACAATAATTTGTTTAAAACAATATAAAAAAGTATCTTTCTATCTGTACTGAGCTTAAAGCTTGGATTCGAACCCACCACCTTGTTATAAAATCTGTACTAAAAACAATTCCACTATTGATTGACCTTTGTGTATTTCTCACAAGTTGTTTCGAGAATAATTTTGTACTACATTCTTATGTAAATCCCGAGTTTTTCAATATATTCTATTTAAAACTAACAAGAGAATGTTTTGGTTTTATTGTACTCTTAATTTTTTATTACACGATTCTTATTAATGACTCCACTTACAAAGTAAAAATACTTGTAAATCCAAGCAATGGTTGGAAATTTATAAAGATTTGTAACTAAAAGAATAAACGTAAGAAAATTGTAGGAATGATAAAAGTGACAGCCCTAGGTATAATTAACGACTTCAGAGACCGTGTCTACACCTACCACAAACATAATATATCGATGATCAAATATAACTCACCTACGGCGTTTATATTGTGATCCAATAGGAACCATTTAAGTTGACGTCACTACACTATACTCATAGCAAACACATAGTGTCAAAAAATAGGCCATGTGTCATATGCCGCCAAAATGATTGTCCCAACGCCAGGGTCGTCACTTGTCGCCGAAATACATCGAACAATTACCCACTAAAACCACTTTCAAACACTATTTTTACACACAATTAGAAGAAAACATGTTTTACACTAATGTTAATCGTCGACGGACGTTTAAAGGAATGTTACCGAAGCGAAAATTTTGTTTTATTTTTAAATTGCAAATCGACGGGAGGCGCGTCCGTCCGCTACGGAGCTCGCTTTTTGTATTTAGGTTAGAATACGCGGGTAACGTCACACACACATGCGCAGAAGCTCCGGAAAACTGGCAAAGAATAGACGGCGATATTCCTTAAAAACACTAAATTTACAGCTACGTTTTATACCAAACTTCCTTTATTTCAGTTCCATACATCTCTATCAGCTGTCATTTCCGAATTCACTCCCTTTATATCCTTATACAAATTCCATACATAATTTCTACGGTCTCTTTATCTTTGTAGCTTTTATTCAATTTTAATACTTGTTTGCAGTTGTCATTGTAGCAGTTTTATTCTAAGTCCATGAAGTCTATTGTAAAATCACCATCAGGTCATAGCTAGCCATAAATAGAAATTAACCAAGTAATTATAGACCCTCACAAATATTTAAAATGTAGAGTACATTTACCCAAAATTATTATAGGACATCCAAACTTTATCCCTGATGAGGCGTAAGTTACGTAGATATCCCTAATCATGAGACACTTGAGAATTAAAACTAAAACACTAACGAATGGTTAAATGTAACTTAGAAACGGGCCACTAGAGAAAGCTCGTCGTATAATGGTTAATACCGCGTCTGCATGCCAACTCTTTACAAAGCTCGGCCGGCTGGCAGACTCACCGGCGTGTACGTACGCCGTCGCAGTCGCCGTCGCCTCGCTGTATCACTGAAAATACACCCGAGATCACTTCGCCGTCATGCTACGGTGACCATGACTCTTGTACGTATGGGATATTATTCGATTGTTTGTTTCTAGTAGTTTTGGAAAGTATTGGTGGTGTAGGTGAAATTTTGCGATCGATAGGAAATATAAACTGTTACTTATATATTATCCTAACAATAATGGAACTATAATATGATAATGATAAGTTATTTTGGTTTGTATTTTCCACAGAAAAGAACCTCATATAAAGTTTTTAGATAGCGGGTTAACATCCTTTCAACCACTTTTTTGTTACAACGAAAAGAAGGGACCCTTCAGAAATTAATTAGGGAAATGACGCATAAGAACGGGAAATATATATTTCTTTGCGTCTACATCTCTAACGTTTAATGGTAGGCAAAGTTATCTGCAATTACAAAGGTGTATTCTTTTTATTTTACTATCGCATTCAAGTGTCCGATAATTCGTTTACCACTGTATACTATAAATTTTATTATGTATTATGGTCACCCTAACCATGTCCAGTATCGGCAGGGTCGCATAGCTCCATCTAGGTGATGAGGTAGCGCCCACACGAACTTCACCTTGTCCACTTACTGAGTGCTTTTACAATTTTACTGCATTAGTACCTACTTGTAATATGAAGGTAACGTAATAATATAAGAACTTTTAAAGTAAGCTTTTAAATTTAAGTTGTTAATGTTAAGAGATAAGTGTCATCTCCACACAATAGTTCACTGCTTAAGGCCGGTTTGCCAGCTACGTTTAACCATTAGTGTTTTTTTTGTTATAAATTCATGAAATACATTTCCGTCGTAACTAGTTACTTACGTAATTAGAGTTTTACTACCTTGAAACATAGGTCGACCTTACACTAATGTGTCATCTATACTATTATAATAAAGCGTAAACAAACACTTCTTTGTTGCCCAAGATGTCAGCAATTACAGCATATTTTTGAATAATTCAATCTTTAATAAAAAGCCCGACAATTACATCACTCCTTAGGCTATATATTTTCACGCCATTAAATTTAGGGGGTAAATATTTTACCTAATGTGGGAAAGAGACCATAAGTTCCTGCCACCATCAAGATAGAATGTCATTTTGACATTTGCTATTGATTATTTGACAAATGTAAACAATAAAACAAAATTTTCATAATTTCATGCTGATGAAGCCGCACGGGGACAGCTAGTTAGTAATAAAATAAGTGGTAACTTCAGAAACCAATTAGAGGTATATTTTCGGTCTTCAGTTCGAATTCTAAACGACTGTTGACATAAACCTAAAGCTTCGCGTTCATTTATTTTTGTTTGTAACAAATGACGATAAGAGCAGGCGCGCATCTTTGACTAAACAATCGCATAACTGTTGTGCGATTGTCGATTGTTTCGCAGCTGTATTGTTGTTTGTTCAACTGTTTAGTTGCACACAAAAAATGGAGTAGTGTGCACACCTCCTTATAAGCTCAAAGGAATCAAAGTGCGACTAAACGGTAATGCTATACTTTAGTCAAAAGTGTGTGCGCTCTAACCGCAAGTCATTCAACTATTTCGAATGAACGTGTAGGACATTCACATTGTCATTCATAAATCATTACGAATTGCAGACGAAAAGTTCATACGCATTACAATAACAAAATGAATCATCAATCAAATAAATGCAGACTTATATAAATAATAGAGACACCGTCTGTTTAATTATAACCACATTATCTCTGCGTATTCTATTTATACACATAGTGTTTATTACGAAAAGCATGACAATTACGAGAATAGATTCATAATTTCATCAACTATACGAGATTTCTTGGTGCATCACGTCCGGTAAGAGCACTGCAGAAATATAATACAAAATTTATCGATTACGTTACGAAAATGTTCTCACGAATATTCATGATAAGCCCTCTTGATACGATTTATTGATTGGACACGGCTCAACTATTATACTTTAATCGTTTATTACACGTGTGCCAAGTCGTGTCAAATTTACAATGAAACTCCTTTGCATGTCCCACGTTAATGTGGTGGCTTCAAAACGTATACCAATATAAAAAGATGGACAAGTAGTTTTTATTTTAATGTAACGAACACGAATTAATGGCCATCTGAATTGGCCGAAAAAGCGACCTCTGCCTACATACAGCAAAGATAGTGTCTACCTTAAATAGACGGAGGGTACAGAGAATATTTTTCATTCTATGCATGCCCACATTCGACAAATTTCCTTCCCCTTTCCTTATAAGTAAGGGATAGCAAGGGAAAGAGAGCTAAAATTAAGCCTACGGTTAGGTCTGTTTCCCAGCTAAGCAAACATTTATTTTTGGTATATAAATTTTGTTCAATTTGATTCCGGTTGACTTTTGTGTATAGGCGGTGACCTTTTGAATTAAAATTTACCAAACAGATTTTCACTAGTCAACTATCATATCTTAAAAAGATACCCTGCCTTCTAGGGGAAAGTCAGGGTTATGTGGAGTGTGGAACTAAAACCGCGTCAGTAGGCAGCCTATTGCAATAGAAGGCTGTTTAGAGAACTCCGTATTACTCGGCGGAATCCTCGACACTTTACCACACAGTAATGTGAAAGGGCCCTAAATTAGTATTTGTACACGTGCACCACTTGGCCGAATGTCAAGCGAAGGCAATGACTTTATAAATATTATTCAACTATTGTATAACAAGTATGATTAATGACCAACATTTCTCTGACATTGATAATAATGTAGTCCCAGTGGTTGAGAAATTAAGGAGTAAAAGGTTAACGTGGTATGTTATGACGGAGGAACCGCATGCAACAAGGACGTTAGTTATGAGTGTACACCGGTAGAAGTAGACGTAGGAGATGGATTGCGTGAAAGGTGACATGATCAAGAAGGTAGTGACTGAGATGACGGATGACAGAGTTATTTGGAGGACGGAAACCTGGTGGTCCTTACGTGAGTAGGAAAAGGTAGGGGAGATGATATTTGATAATGATAAATTTAATCCGGAACCGGAGGCCTAATTTTGGTCCCTTTCCCTTTCCACCATTTTCTTAAGAGGAAAGGATGGAAGGAAAAGTGGATTTGACGGTAGAGGAGGGGCATAGGAAGGGGAAATGTCTTTATGTGTGTCTCCTCCTCCGTCAATTAAGGGTAACGCATCTGCAATTGCGGATGTTTATGGGCAGCGATCGCTTTCCATTTCAGTGGATTCATGTGGCCGCTTGCTCGTTTACCAACTTACATTATAAAAAAAACAATGTGTAATAACTTGATGACTTATTTCATACTTTATCTATATTAATTTTTTTTTTATAACATATGGCGGCAAACGAGCAAGCGGCCACTAGAATCCGCCAAAATGACGAAGCGACCGCTGCCCATAGACATCCGCAATTGCAGATGCGTTGCCTACCCTTATACGACGGAGGAGGAGACGCACATAAAGAGGATATTTCCCTTTTCTATGCATTATTACATATTATTCTTTCCAACCTCTCCTCATAAGAAAAGGGTGTTAAAGTGAAAGGGACTTAAATTAGGCCTCCGGCACCACACTCATCAGACGAAACATGGAATTGCTTCGGAATTGCTTCCATTTCAAGCCTGTCTTCTGTGTGGTCGTGGTAATACTGGGGGCGTGCCGGCCCATTCGTACTAAGATGTTAAAGCGGGCACTACCACTATGTAAGGTATAAACTCAAAAACTACTGGACTGATTTAAAAAAATCTTCCATCATTAGAAAGATACATTTTCACTGAGTGACATAGGCTATTTATTATTAGATTTTGTTTTTAATTTCGGGCGAAGTCGCATGCAAAATCTGTATATGTTGTTAATCAAACTATTCACTGTTAGAAAACAAAAACATGGTTATTCACAGTTTATTGTTATTCGAATTAGAGAGACTAGAATCTGTTTATGAACGATTATTTTCGGTACCCACTGTAACTACTTTACTACAGCATTACTTTCTTATACAACTTGTAAAGTAAATGTAGAAAACAACGCTGTTCTAGTCAAAGTAATAAATCAAATTTCCCGTCTAAACAGTGTCCATTGTCAGACGAACTGCGTCATTAGCCAACCATCCGGTAACAAATGTGTCGTTAAACGTCAATTATTTGTCGTGGAAACTCAGACTTGTTTGTTTAGGTTAGGTTTTATGATGCGGTCTGCCGCAAGCGCGAAGCCAAATAACGTCATGTATGAAACATACTGTTAACAAACCTGAAAATCAATTAAAAAATAAGAATCTTTTACCAAGAAAATATTACTACTTTTTCAGTCTTTAGTCACAAAGAAAACTTTGAAACCGCTTGTAGCTTTATT